CGCGGGGCGCGGGGCGGCGCATGGGGAAGGAGCGCGGCGCGGCGAGGCACGGCGCCGGCCGCTTCCCCCGGCGGAGCGCTGCCAGCTCTTCCTGGAAGTCGTGAGTCGCGCGCGGCGCGGTGAGTTCATGCGCCTCCGCGCCAAGCCCCAGCCCGCGGGATCTGGGGAGGCTGCCGCCGGAGCACCGCCCGGGGCCCCGCGCCCGCCGCTCGCCGCCGCCCGGGGGGCTCTCCCCGGGGGCGCCGCCGCCGCCGCCCCCTCGCACATGAAGATGTACGCGCAAAGGGCTCTGGTGCTGCTCTCGCTGCTGAGCTTCGCCACCGTGAGCCTCGCGCTGTCCTCCTGCACCACCTTGGACCTCGAGCACATCAAGAAGAAGCGGGTGGAGGCCATCCGGGGGCAGATCCTGAGCAAGCTGCGGCTCACCAGCCCCCCGGAGAGCGTGGGGCCGGCCCACGTGCCCTACCAGATCCTGGCGCTCTACAACAGCACCCGCGAGCTGCTGGAGGAGATGGAGGAGGAGAAGGAGGAGAGCTGCTCTCAGGAGAACACCGAGTCCGAGTACTATGCCAAAGAGATCCATAAATTTGACATGATCCAGGGCCTCCCCGAGCACAGTAAGCGCCAGGCGCGCAGCGCCCGGAGGGGAGGCCGGGGGAGCGGGGAGCTGCGGCGAGCGCCCGCGTCCGGAGCGCCGGCGTCGCGTTGCGAGAGGGGGGCGGCGCGGCTCTGGGGCTGAGCGCGGCGTGCGGGGTTCGGAGGAAGCGGGGCTCCGCTGAGTGAGGAACGGGCGGCCCGAGCCCCACCTTTCGGAGCCCTCCGTGCCCAGCGGCGGTGCGCGGTGTGCCCGGCTCCTCGCCGACTCTGGGAAGGCGCCTGCGTGGAGGATGCCGCTCCAGTAGCAGTGGGGGAATCGCGGGCGGCGGGGGTGCCGAGCAGGTGCAGAGCTGGGATTCGCTGGGACGCCCTGAGGAGCGCGGGCGCTGAGGAAACGGACAGATGTGGAGCAGGTGCAGTGCGCTTGAGCGGGGCCAGATGCAGGCGCTAAGCAGATTCAGGTGCGGGAGCTGAGCGGATGCAGATGCAAAGTCAGAGGGCGAGCAGACACGAACCCCAAGTAGATCGCAGATGCGGAGCAGATGTAGGCACTGGCAATCCCCTCTGTCTGGCTTAGGATCTCTTCGGATGGGAAGATGTTGGTGGGCGCACAGTCACCTTCCAGGTGTCCCCCTCGTGATGGAGCACGGTGCTGGGGACGCAATCTCAGTGCTGGCAGCCCTGGGGTGGAGCTGGGACTTGGTGCAGGCAGCCCCAGAATGCAGCTTCTCTGCTAGGTTTATGTTAATCTTGACATATGATGAGCTGGAAACAGAGCTGCGATGTGGTAATGCAACAAATTTCACTTAATCTCTAGCAGACTACACTCCATATGGTTATATGATTAGCACTCAGTTCAGGAGGCGCTCAGACTCAAGACACAGAAAATGCACAGAGTATTCATGGCTTTCCCATATTTCAACATTTTTGACTCCAGAATGTTGTGAAATTCTATAAATACGTGTGTGCAAAATGACACTGATGCGGTGTGAGCTTTGAAGGAGGAAACTGGAAAGCACGGTGGTGGGTCATGAATACAGAATGGGTTTGGGTGAAGGAGGGGGAAGAAGAAGGAAGATGTCTGTGAGGAGCACTGAGGCAGTGGAGAGGGACAGTGAGATGGGGTGTGAGAAGAGCTTGGGGCAGCGGTGGGTGCTGCGGGTGAGATCGCTGTGAGGAAACTGCCGTGGGCTCAGCCACTGTCCACGACATGCAGGATAACCTCCCCGTGCCTATGGAAATGATGAGCCTGCCCCAGCCTCTCTGTGGTGCCACAGCAAGGTGCTGAGCAATGAGCCTGTGTTGTGCTGACACTGCATTCTATGCAGCCCCTCTGCCCAGAGAAGAGGGGGTGTGTGGATTGGTCACACAGGCCAGCCCCACGCAGGCTGTGGTGTTGAGAGACTCCTCTTCAAACCTAGGGAGTTTCATCACATGCACCATGGCTGTGTTTGGCCCCGTGTCTTCAAAAGTGGCTGATGTTCAACTTTCCCATGGCTCTGTCACTGTGCCAGGTGGTGATCTCAGAGCAGCTGGAGCCAAAGCCAGGCTCCTCTGGGGGGAAGAGGAGGATGGCTCCATTGAGGGAACTGAGGATGATAGAGATGAGTTCGAAATGTGTGCGCATGCACAAATTGTTCTAGCTCCAGAGTATTAGTCAAGCAGTTTGTTGGCTCAGAGAACTTGTATTTCTCCAAAACCTAAGGCCCAACAGTGAGGAAAGCTGAGGAGCAAAAATAGCAGCAGGGAGAGCCCAGGCCTTCTAGGAAGGGAGGACTTCCAGGAGCCAGTCTCTGTCCCCAGTCTGGATTGCTGGTTGGTTCAGGGAATCGTCTTCCAGCCATGCTTGTGGAACACACTGATTTACAAGGAACGTTTTCTGCGAGTAGCTCGCACTCACTTCAGGGAGATCCTAAAACTGATGGGGATTGGATTCAAGCATGGGAAGCTCCTGCAGCGGTTCTGCAAGTGGCTTTACGCACCTTCCGGAAGAAAACTGTGCCATCTCCCAAGCCAGCATAAGAGAGGAGACGATTAAAGCTGTGGGCCTTTGGGCCAAGCGTGTTTTCTGTCCAAAGCTGCTGCCTGCAAAGATCCAGAAGGATCTGTTTTTCCTCCTGAGTTACACCGCTTTGACATTAAGCACTTTTTGGTAGCAGTGGTGTGGCACAGTGAGGTGATACTGGCCTGCAGCCAGCCAGCCCTTCCCTGACATCAAACTCCAAGCAGACAGCAGTCAGCTGTCACAAGGCATGCCAGGATCAGCAGCCATGTGGGAATGGTGGCATGTGGAGAACCTGCACCTCCCTGAAAGCAGTGATTGGAACAGGGGAGTTCCCACAGAACATGCTCCTTGTGTCTTATCCTCCACTACAAGGCCCTGCTGGTCCCATTATCTGTTCTATCAGCAGCTCAGCAATTGGCTAGATTCCATAGTCATAGCAGGGTCTGATCGTGAAGATAGAGCCTGTCATGTCAGGCAGACTGCTGTAGGTACATGGGTGGCACAGATTTCCTTCTCTTGGCCTTATTACAGACACTGAGTGTTGTAGATTGGAGGAGCTTGCAGGAATATTTCTTCTAGGCTTTGTTCTTTGCTGGTATCTGGGCAATTCCAGATCCTGATGTGATTAATGTGCCCTGAGCTGGGACTGGAATGAGTTCCCTGAAAACATCACTTAACTGTGCACACCTCTGACCTCTTAACTTAAGGATTTTGCTCAAAAAGCAGAATTGTTCTGGAGTGAGACCTGTATTCTGGACATCTGGCTGTGAGAAGCAGGCTCCAACCTTGCAGTGGTCAGAATGAAACAACAGCTCCATGTCCCCCATCACAGGGGGCTTGTTCCCAGGGCATGAAGGCAACATGAACCTGCTATGTTAGGAAAGGAAAGACAGCTCTTACTGTTCCCACCAGGAAGGTCTCCAAAACACCATTAGAAGTAGGTAGGAGGCATTGCAGTGATAGCAAGAGAATACAGAAGATGGCCATTCATCTCTTATTGGCATAGCTGCCTCACTGAGCCAAAAAATTTAAGAAGCTGACAAACAATAAATGATTTTGTTTCTCATCTGCACTGCGCTGTAGGACCAGATTTGGACCAGATTTACAGTCTCTAAATCGATTATCAGATGAAGTATCAACGTTGTAAATGGACTGTGGGCTAGGCTGGCCACTGGTCTGATGTGGAGGCACTTGTGAGGATTGGTGGAACACCCCCTCACAGACAGGCGGTCGGCTCAGAAATGGAAGGGCAGGCTGTTAACAGCGCTATTAATAGGGCAAGCATTACAAAACAGCTTAAGGGGGTATTAAAACACAGTATCCACCTAGGTCTAACAGAACATTAGCAGTGTTAGACTTCAGCTAGAAAGATGCCCTCGGGCACATAATGAGATCAGAGCTTGCTGGTCTGTGCTTATCTGTGGCACAAACCGGTCAGTGGTGGAGTCCCCATAGTGGGTGTCCTCTCCCGGCTCAGTGCTCTCTGTGCTGTAGGGCTCTCGGGCTGAATGTGCCAGCTCTTTGCTGCAATGGATCTGGTCTCCTGGGGCTGCAAAAATCTCAGTCTTTAACAGCAGGCAGAGATGTTCACAGGTGGAAAAGTTGTTCCATTCAATAGTAGGTATGGCAAAAAGCCTCAAAACAAATTTCAATGCGAGCATCTGGTCGTTAGCTTATTGAGTAAAACTTTAGGTCCCTAAGAACACACGTTTGTGAACTGGCAGGCTCCTGCTTGCTAAAGCCAGGTGTAGCATAAAAGGAAGACCTTCAGCTTCATCAAGATGGCCCCAGAAGTGAATCACTGTTGCTCAAAGCAGAATTTGGCATGGGAGATGAGCCTATGTTCTCAGACACTGTTCCACCAGCCCATCTTCAGAACTTGTCTCTGTGGGATATGGGTGCTTTGAAGACAGGGGCCAACTCCAGGAATACAGTTTCAAGGTTGCCAGGTCTTCTAGCCTGTTTGTCACAGGCTGGAACTGTGGCTTAGAAAAAGTGATTTTTATGTGTATGGTTTTATTGTTTTGCTTTTAATTAAAAAACCAAAAAAAAAAAAACCCCACAAATATCAGCTGATACAAGAGCCTGGTGTTGCCTTGGAGAACAGCCAGAGGTCATATGAGAGGCTCTGCAGGACTCCAAACAGATCTGCACGTGGGTGTAGAGCAGGAGTTGCTGTGCCTTGCCTGCAGGAAGCCTTAAAGCCTGAATGATGCTACAGCCTTGACATCTAAGAGAGGTCAGAAGGAGAGGAGCAGCAGGGATCACTGCTTCTTCCATGGAACCAAAGCAGTCCCAATGTAGAGATGCTCATTTTCTCTTGAGGAAATCTTGTACCTGTGCTCTTTTGGGGCATCTGTGAAGTGGATTTTTCTGCTCAGCAGGCACACATCCAGGCAGAGCCTTGCTGTGCTATTTCCTCCTCATGTGTCTGATCTCTGCAGTCCTCACAGCAGCCTCTGTCCCCAAAGAACTCTGTATCAAGTACTATCCATGAATTCCTCCTCCAGGTCATGAGTGAGAACTGACCTTAAAACCTAGTTCCTTTAGAACGCACTGGAGAGTCACTGCTCCCAAGATGTCTTCTGCATCTCATAATTATGACAGAATCATTGGACATGGAAGGGACCCTTAAACACCATCTAGTCCAACTCCCTGCAATGAGCAGGGACACCTGCAGCTCAGTCAGGTTGCTCAGAGGCCCATCCAGCCTGATCTTGACTGTCTTGAGGGATGGGGCAGCCACCACATCTCTGGGCAACCTGTTCTAGCGCCTCACCAAACTTCGTGGACACTTCTCTGACTTTCATTACAGACCTTGACGTTGTCTCCTGTAATAAGATCACTTGCTGTGTGGCTTCATGTCTTCTCCAGCATGAGCACAAAGTTACACCATCATGGTTACTGGGAATGGGCCCCATGAGGAGCAAACGAGGTTGTCCCCTTGTGTTAGTTGGGATTGCATTGACAAATGCAGGAAACTTACAAGCATTATCAACATTTGATGAGTAGAGTTGGAAGAGACAGTTAAGAATACTGTGATTGGTCTCCACCGATTCTCTGGCTTGTAGCATTGAAATGATGGCAGTAGTGAGAAGATTTTCAGAACATTCCAACATAGAGCAAATTAGAGTTAATTCCTCCTGCTGTCTCTTTAACCAGACAACTGAACTTGAAGGTGGTGAGATGTTTAGTCGGAAGCTCTTTCTCAGTCACTTCTGGCCTGAAATTCTTACCCTCTCCCTCTTTTTTCTCCTAGATGAGTTGGGCATTTGCCCAAAAGGTGTCACCTCCAATGTGTTCCGGTTTAACGTGTCCTCAGCAGAGAAGAACAGCACCAACCTGTTTCGAGCAGAGTTCCGGGTGCTACGTGTGCCCAACCCGAGCTCCAAGCGCAGCGAGCAGCGCATTGAGCTCTTCCAGGTGAGTATCTTTCTCACCTTCCTCACTGCCTCAGGCCAGAACAGCTTGGCTCCATAGTGACTGTCCCAGCTTGTGGGTGCAAGGCCACAGGTAAGAGGGAGAAGAGATCCCATACTTTGCTCCAGGTTTCTTCCAGCATGTAAGCAGTGATACAGACACATTTTTTTCCAGTCTTAGTGTGGTACTGTCCTTTTCCCCACTCACATTGTCCAGCTGTTGTGGGTACTGTGAATTATGCGGCTCTTTTCTATACTGAGAAGGGGTTGGAAGAGGATCTCCTCACCAGCAGAGAAGCCCTGACACTTCTGCCTAAGTCCCTTGGCAGAGTTGTTCCTCTGAGTGTTGCAGTACAGTACAGTTGGTGCTAATCCAATGGGTGGAGCTCTCTGACTTTCACAGACTTACTGGAGAAGAAATGCTTGCTTTCAGTGTTCCTTTCATCAGCAGTTCTTTGGGGACGGTTGCTGGCACCTCTAGTGCAGGTGCTCATCTGGAGTTTGGTTTGAACTCTTGGTGTCCGCTGGCAAGATAAGGTCTGGTTCAAGTTTGGAAGTGGTCTCTGGCCATGCTGGATCACACAGCTAATGGGGTAGTTCAGCATCCAAGCAGCATATTCCCACAGGCTGCTGTCTGTCTGCTGTGCAGTAACAATGCAGCTAAAATTGCCCTTTAGCTGTTAGCTCTTAAGGTCCTCTTGGAATTCATCTTTAAAAGGCAGACCAGTTCTCCAGCTAACAGATGATAACAATTGCTAACAGACAACCCCAAAGCTTCTCCACAGGCTGCGTGGGATGAACCTGGAGTCCTGCAGCAAGGAGCACTTTGCACAGGCTGCTGGTGTCTGTCTGGAAATGGGATGTCAGAGCAGGGAGTGAGTTCTCCAAACTTGATCCATCCTGGTGTGCTTTGATTGATGTTGAAGTATAGAGAACACATGAAAATACCACTTCGTAGGATTCGAGAGACTTGCTGGACAAGGGACCCATGGCTAGATGCTCATTTACCCACTGCTGTTTTACTCTGTAAGTCAGACCCACACTGCACATGTGAATACAGAAACAAAACCACCCGTTAGATCTATCACCGTATATTTGTGCTTCTGATGTGCACCCTGAAACAAGGACGAACTAGGAGAGGTGAGCTGCTCGGGGCCCAGAAGTACAGGCTGGAGAAATAGGTTGGTTGTGAAGCATGTCCCTCTAATGTGCCAGGGTATTCCTGGTGTTCCACGTGCTGGGACTCACCTTCCAAATTTGTTTGTAGCAAGCTGTGGAAAAAGAAGGACACAGAGCTGTTCCTTCCTTGTGCACAGACTGGCTCACTCTCTACTGCTCCTTCTATCGCAGATCCTGCGGCCGGATGAGCACATAGCAAAGCAGCGCTACCTCAGTGGCAGGAATGTGCAGACACGGGGCTCCCCTGAATGGCTGTCCTTTGATGTCACCGAGACCGTGCGTGAGTGGCTTCTGCACAGAGGTAGGGGTCACAGCTGGACTGGGTGTGATGGCATCCATAGAAGCGTGGATCGGTGTTGTCAGGAGCATCTTCTCAGGAGCACCACTTAAACAGGAGGCAGCTTCATTTAGGTTGAGAAAAAGCCTTCCTCTGGAGAACTGCCTCTGTGTAACATTTGCTCCCTTCCTAGCTCTGTTCTGGAGTACCCACTGCGTAACTCTGGGGGCTGAGTCAGAATAAGACCTCATTCTCTGGAGGAGGAAATTGTTCTCGGTGAGAGACGCTGGGTCTTCTTTTGGTTCTTTGATTCTAAGTGCAGGGGAATCTGTCTGCTGGTCTAATCTATTGCTTGTAACACATAGAAAATGAGGATTGCTCTGGTTTAATTTTCTTATGGGATAGAGAAAATTTATTAGGAAAAAACAGCAAGGATCTTGATTTCTTTAGCTGTTTACAGCTTGGCAGGTATAAAGGTGAGGAAATACCAGAGGCTGACACACCTAGACAGAACATACCTCTGCCACCGCTGGGCAGCCCAACAGATAGTTACAGGGCAGCTCCCTGCAAGAACACAGACCCCATTCACAGCTGGAGCATAGGCACCATGACTCACCGCTGCGTTGGCCTCACAGATAGAAGTTAGGTGCCACTGAAAACTGGAATGCAGGCTCTGGCAAGCAGCCGCTCCCTGGAAGGTTAAGCTGTGAGCCCGTAGGCTCCTCCTTTTCAAAGCAACCCCAGTTGTGTCCTGATGGTTGGAGTTCAGTGCTGGAACTGTGGTGAGCTCTGGGCAGGCACAAGCTAGCTGACAGACATCAGATATGGTGCTTAGGAAAAAAGGTGCTAGGCACCTTGTCAGTGCCCCAGGGAGCCAGATGTTTTAATTCATGACACAACATAGGAAAGGAGCTTTCATAAGAGCTGTATGTTCCGTGGGTCAGGCCCACACAGCGTGATGGGTCCAGGAAGTTATTATGAAAATAGATTTGCCTCTGGAAAGTCTGCGAGTGAGACCACTAGCAGTTCAACAAAACAGGAGGCTGCAGCTGCTAAGAAAAATGCTTCCAGTGAAATTACTTGTCCATATCCAACTCACTCACTTTCAGATCTCTCCTCCAGACACTAACCAGAAGCCAGATAGTAGACAGGTACTGAGGGCAGCAAATTTGATTCAGTACAGATACACAACACAGGCCAACTTTGCAAAATAGTTACTTTCTAGTGGAACTCTTCAAAGCTCACAAGTGCTTTTGGATGCTGAATAGCCTAAAAAATGTAACCAGAAGCACCTTTCTCACCTGCCCTGGAAGGTCCCTTTAGCAAGAGTATGCATGGCTTTTGGCACAAGTGAAGCCACAAGATTCTGCTTCCCTTTCTAAGTCCTTTCTAAGTCAGCTTCTGTTTCCCAAAGCGAGGAACCTTCACTGTGAGACTGATCCCTGGTCTGTGGGCCACAGCACAGCACGCGCCCTCTGTGGAGATTCACTGTAGCTGTTCCACCTGAGGAATATGATTTTTCAGAGTCCTCTCCTTTTTTGCAGAGTCCAACCTTGGCCTGGAAATCAGCATACACTGCCCTTGCCATACTTTTCAGCCCAATGGGGACATCTTGGAGAATTTACATGAGGTCTTGGAGATCAAATTCAAAGGTGATAAAGAGCTGGGCTTGGGGAGGCTACTGGAGGGAAAGCCACGAGTGTCTGGAAAAATGAATAGGTCTTCCTTTGCATATTTGAGGATTTTACCCCTCATAACATTTGGCTTAAAGCATACACACTGCTGGGTTTGCATGTTGATCTTATGAGTACACCCACTTCAAACCTCGGTTACAAGTGAGAGAAAAGTGCAGTCTGGGTGGGGTTTGTGTGTGTTTCTGGAAAAGGAATAATTTCGTATTTCAGTGTCTCTCTGGGAAGTTCAGCTTGATGGATTCTCAGATTTCCACAGAGGCTCTGCTTTCCAGTTAGGGTGACTGAAACACAAGGAAGTCAGGCATCCTGTGTGAGGTGGCCTAGAGAGTCAGTGGCTTGGCTGGCCTAAGACGTAGGAACCTCCTGGCTTGCAGCCCTGGGCTGCAGCCACTGGCCCCCACAGGCTCGATTTCTGAGGCTGTTCTGCAGAGTGCCAATGATCTGACATCTTCTTTAAACCATTCATCTTCTTGCCTGTCCTGGGACTGAAGCCAGGAGCGAGTGGGATGGATTAATGGCCCCACCAGCAGTTTGCAAATGGTAAAACAGGTGGCCCACAGGCCTCTATTTCAGCCCTGCAGCAGTTAGATTCACCAGGAGCAAAGAGTACCCCTAGGAGGGAAGAAGTCCCAGAGTGAGTACACGTGGTGCATGAGTCTCTTTTGCCCTGGTTCAGTGCAGTCAGAGGGTGTTAAGTGTATTGAAAAGTCTTGTTGCGTTCCTCACTTCCATATTGATGTCCTCTTTGTGGATTGTTTCTGTCTGAAGGCATTGACAGTGAAGATGACTATGGCCGTGGGGACTTGGGGCGCCTGAAGAAGCAGAAGGACTTGCATAATCCCCACCTCATCTTGATGATGTTACCCCCACATCGCCTGGAGAGCCCAACACTGGGAGGCCAGAGAAAGAAGCGGGCCCTGGATACCAACTACTGCTTCCGGTAAGTGAGAATCCTGCCAGCAGCTGGGTCCCATGCCTGAGATGGGAAAGTGTGGTGAGACTTCACATCATGGCAAGGCAGTGCCTGCCAAGGGGGCTGCAGGTCACCATGGTACTGCAGGGGCCACGTGAGCAGCACAGCTCAGCTCGTGCTCCTTGCAGCCTCCAAGAAGGGGATGCTGGCTGGCCCAGCAGTCACTTTTGGCCAAGTTTCTGGGTAGAGGGAGGCTTGTGATCAGCCTCATGAGCATAGCCTGGGCAGAGACCAGGCCAGTGGCTGAACTGCCTGGCAGCATGTGCAGGCAGTGCCAGGCTGCTGGCCTGCCGCCTTCTGGCAAGCTCTGCCACTGCTGTGCACCCAGTGCAGGTCAACACCATATCCCACTGGGCAACACTGGTTCTGGTCCTTTTGCTCTGGAAGCTGCTTCATGCAAGCACGTAAAAGATCCCTTTTAGATTCATTTTGTGTCCATTCTGTGTTTCAGGAACCTGGAGGAGAACTGCTGCGTGCGTCCTCTTTACATTGACTTCCGACAGGATCTGGGCTGGAAATGGGTCCACGAGCCTAAAGGCTACTTTGCAAACTTCTGTTCGGGCCCATGTCCGTACCTCCGCAGTGCAGACACCACTCACAGCACGGTACATCCAGCACGTTATCCTTGTGGCCCTGTCACCTCTTTCCTCCCTCAGTCTGATGGCATTTGGTCTCTTCAAAGTAGCAGAAGCAGTTTAGATCAATACCTGCAAAAAACTACAAGGAAACTGCAGGAAAGAGTCTGAGTAGTTCAGCAGGGAGAAATGGTCTTCCTATGGAGTCAATACTGAGTCCATGCTTCCAGCTGAGGAGGAGGATGCTATCTCTTGTATGAAATGGGGAAACGGCAGGACTTAGGATACTTATTTGGTAGTGGCCAGTTTTTGTTGTTCAGATCAAACATCAACGCTGATGGTTTTATTCTGCATAATTTTTCCTCTAGTTTTCATTTGGCAGAGGAATTTTGTACACACAGGTTGTGCAAAACTGCTGAGCTATGGCACACACCTGCTGCCTACTATCACATGGGCAGCTGTAGCCCACAAGGGAAGGGGAGCCATGTCCAAGTGAACATGGCTATGCAGCAAGCTTTGTCACCAGCATTATTTTCAGCTGTATAAATCCCACCAGACAGGGAGGAATCCACTGGGCTGTGAAATTAATGAGTAAAACTGGCAGAAAAGAAATATTTTCAGGTAACTTATACATAACTTCTGTTTAACATGGGTACCTTGGGCAGTCTTAGGGAAGAATACCACCTGAGCTTCGCTACTGTCTAGAGCAAAAAAAACCACCAAAAACAACAAAAAAAAAACCCAAAAGCAATAGCAAACTATGGCCATGGAAGAAGAACCAAGAGGAAAACACAGGCTAATGAGCAGAAAGTTAATTCCTAAGCAAGAAAAGCCAGAGAAGAATCCTAAGCTACTGTCTGCAGAAGGGAAAAAGAGCAAGCTGGACATGGCAACAGCTCGCTGCAAATTAGCTTCAGGTTTCATTAGAAAAAATTCTGGAAGAAGCAGATTCAGCTGAAGAATAGTTGATTGGGTAGAGATGATACCACAGAAAAGACGCTAACATTTTCTTGGCAGCTTAAAGAATCTGCACAGCAGCAAAGCTTGCTGAAGCTAAAAGACTGCTATTGGTGGGAGCAGATCTAAGGGTACGAAGGAATGGACAGGTGCTGGGTGAGAAGCACGAGACAGGACAGGTGAATGAATAGCTTAGAAGAGGTAACATGCATCAGTTGGACCTGAGGAACTCTAACAGATACTGAACTGAATCAGCGTGAGTGAGATTTTAATACAGTTCCTGATACTCTTACTGAGCAAGAAGGAAAATCAAGTGGTAAAGTCAGCTGAGTGATCCCAGCAAGCTTCAGAACAGTACAGCTTCTGACAGCTTGCCAGCACCACCTAGGAAAAACACGGTGAAAAGCAGATTTCTCACCAGTCTCTTTAACCCACTGTCTCTGTTGAATACAGCAGCCCCAGTGCACATGGCACCCATGTGACACAGCCTGTGCCTTTGCTAGTACCCCACAGGGCTTCTACCAGAATGACTGGAATTACACGGATCTGCATGATAGAACAGAATGTCTCCTTAGCACCTCTCACCCTCCTGTAAAACAGTTAACAGACAACGTGCAGGATGCTGTAATTTAACCCAGACAGGTGCTATGAGCCAACAGTAGTGCAGGTAGGATTGTGTCTTAGCCTCACAATTCAAGATGTTGCTTACCACTGAAGAGCAGCCAGCTCTGGGAAGACACATGGCAGCTCTTTCATGGCGGTTACATGGCTGGAGTGTACAGTTGTCTGTGGTTTGGGGCCAGCTGGGAGAATGAAGCCAGTGTGGTCCCACAGGACACTGTCCTGGCTCCAGCATTACAGTGTAATGACTTGGAGGATGAAGTGGAGAAAGAAAGCATCAGACAGTTCAAAGCTGGGAGGGAACTGCGGCTACTCGAGAGGACGGGCATCCATCCAGCGCTATCTAGAGATGTTGGTTGAAATAAGCAGCATTGATTTTCTTTGTTCTGGTTTGGTAATAGAACCAAAGACAACCTCAGGCTGGTTACACCCTGACTTATAAGCAGAAGTGGCACTATCCGCTGTACCAAATTAGAGATTAAGCAAGTGAACTACTTGTACTTCTTCCACCCTTAGGCATCAGCCAGTCTACATTGCTACCATTAAAAAGAAAAAGGCTCTGGATCAGGCCTGGGCAGGAGCAGGCCATGATCAGGACGTGATAAGAATAGCAGTCACATCAGGGAAATGCCCCTGATTAGCACAATCCAAATACCTAGAGACCTGTTTGCTTGCAGTACCTTCTTGTTCTCTTAAATGGACTCCTGACTTTGTCACCACATTTAAATTTGTTTCCACAGGTGCTGGGCTTGTACAACACGCTGAACCCTGAGGCATCTGCTTCACCCTGCTGCGTCCCACAGGACCTGGAGCCACTGACGATCTTGTACTATGTCGGGAGGACACCCAAAGTGGAGCAGCTCTCCAACATGGTGGTGAAATCCTGCAAGTGCAGCTGAAAGGCACTCTGGGCTGCCCAAAGCCTAGAGAGAAACTGTCAGCATCCATTCTGCTCCAAGGCTAGCACAAAAGGAACTGGAGGTCAGAGACTATGCATGCAGAGGGCCGAGTGCTAAACCCTGTGGCTTTGGGTCTGGCAGTCCTTGGGAATCTCTTCTGGAACATTTCTCGGTCTTGTTGCCAGTGTCACGTTCCCTCTGGGAGTTACTTTGACGACACAAAGGCCACACTCCAAAATGACTGGACAGTTGATGCGGAAGAGAAAGACAGAGTGAAGGAACTGCTGTGTATTTGAATGCTGGGATAGTTGAACTGGGAAGGCGAGGGATGAGAAAGAGCAGTTAAAAGGAGGGATTGGAAATGAAGCAGTGTTTCCCCTTCTTGCTGTAGCCCCCTTGGGACCTCTGCCCTCCCCAGTGGCCTGAAGAATTATGAAGGTTTTCCCTCCTGCAGGAGAAAATCCTGGAATTTTCTTTAGAGAAAGAAAATGCACCGAGAAGCTGCTCAGAGAAGAGATGCTCAGAGATACACATAGACTTGCGTTCCTCAGAACTGTGATCCAGGAGACCTGTATCTACAGTTGTGTTTCTGCCAGACCTGTAACTTCAGTTGGCAGACCCTGGCTATTGGTTTCCAAAAGCAAACTGCATGGCCCCCATTCAGCCTGCTGAGGTGGGCAAAGGCAAGCAGAGAAGGTACTGAGCCCATTTTAAGGAGGACTGATGTCTCTATTCAGCTCTTTTCCTTTTCTGGAGTTTCTGAAAGATGGCTTCAGGGTCAGGGCAAGAGCATTATCTGGGGGGCACCTGGATTTTGGAGCCATTCACTCATGATCTGATAACACCCTGAGGACCTTTTGTCTGTTGTGGTTTGTGATCTCAACGTGGCCCAGGCCTCACCTGCCAAGACTTAAAAAAGAAAAACTATTAATCTCAAAAACATTGTAAAAAATAAATATTTGGGGGGGGAGATGGTTGTTTTTTTCTTCCCCACCACCTTTCCTCCCCCCACAGGGATGCTGTTGAAGGGTTAGATGTTTTTTTGCTTTTAAACTGCTACTACTGTGGCATACTTGGTCACTTTAAAATCTTTCCCTTTTCTTGAGTATCTCTTCAAGGAAATGGGCAGAATTTAGGTCAGCCAGAGAGCTCAGAATGGAAATTCCTTTGTACCTTCAAACAGTGTCTGCTGTGTATGTGCCCTGTCCTCCTCTGGTCCCTCTGACAGACATGTCACCTCTCACATCTGATTTTGATAGATTTATATAAAGCACCCCTCAAAAATAAAACATTTCCAAGAGTACTGTTTAAATAATCAGGGCATTGCAGTTGTCACAGCTGACAAAAATCATACATTCATTGGAATATATAAGTTCTGCCAGTACAGACTTGTACACAAAGGCCAGCCTCCTCACATTTACCATGAACATTTCATACACTTATAAAATGTTCACAGATGTGGCCCTGGCAAGTAATCAACATACTGTTTTTTAAAAAGTGTGCTTTTTTCAGCCACAGATACTCCAAAAATTACAAGCCTCTAGTACTTGCTTGCATGTCAGATGAGACACAGGCTGCCTCTCCTTCAACCACAACTACTTAATGTTCTAAAGACCACAGAAATTCCTCCCTATCCCTTTCCACTTCCTGGTCCCCAGCAGTTGAATGTCACGACATGGAACAACTTAATTGCTTGTGGCCAGGGCTCTGCATGGTCAGCGTGGAATGCAGCTCCTGGTCCTGCACTTCAGTAGCTGCTTCCATACACCTTGCCACAATGCTGCCATAACATGTAATCACAAACACTTCAGCACATCCATTAAAAAAACTCCTCCATCACCAGCTGGCAAGATCAGCAAGGGTGGGTCAGCAGAGGGAGCCTGCCAGGCGGCATGACATTTTGGCTGGGGCACACATGCTCTGAGAGAGGCACTCCCCAGTGCTCAGCTTTATCCCTTTCATCTCCCTGGGGCTCCTTGACCTGTCTTCTTGGTGTAATGATGAAAATTACTGCTCTGATCAGCCCTGAAGCACTAATTTATTGCTGTGCAGCTCTCCATGCCCATGCCTGCCAAGGGAGGGAACAGGTAAATGCACTGCAACTTCACTACCATGCTGATAGACAGTCCAGAAATTTAGTGGCTGCCCTGGGGAGGGGAGGGAAATCCAGATGCCAGTTGGCACAGAAATTCTCTCTAATCTCCTTTTAGCAGCAGCAGCCCCTGGGGAGGTTTTGGTTTACAAGCTACAGTCTGTTCTTTGGTCATTGTTCCTCGTGAGCCCTGTGCTGGCTCGGCTGCATATCCAACTGAAGAGCTTTCTCGCTATTGAGGGGAAAAAAGCACAAGAAGGGGGAGCTGCAAAGAGCTGAGCAAGAACACGAGCTTCACAGTCATACGTGGCACTTGGAGCGTGCCAGAACCTCCCACAGATTAACCCTGGCAGGCCCCTCGAGGTGAGCCTGCGTTGCTAGTTTTGTTCACTGCTGCTCAGTGGCAGGGAGGGGCGGCAGAGGAAGCAGGCCGTGCTGAACTGCTTGGAAAGAAGGCAAAATGGAAGGGAAAGCAGGACAGAGGATTCCCGGGGTGTTCAACCAGTTAGGATTCAGGTAACCTCATGGTTCTTTCCAAGTCAAACACTCCCTTCAGTTACTCCTCTCCCCAGACTGAAGAGTTTCCTATCAAATGCAGTTTCCTATCTGTGTTTTAGAATTAGATTTGTAAGACAGGCTCCACATTCATTTTCTTACAGTTAAAATAGCTTTCTTAGGGTCGTTTGAGCTATAATTTAGCAATAAACTATACCACCCACATGGGGTTAATAAGAGATTGAATCCACTCCTGGGCCCAGGCTTACTAAAACATTTCAGGACACTAGTGTGAGAAAGACCAGCAGATAGAGAGTTCTCTATCTGCTCTGTTACTAGGTGGCAAATTGACAAAGACAATGGGAATGAAAAAGTGGGTTCTTTACTGCCAACAATAAATACAGCTCCCAACAGTTCCCTCTTGTTATTCCCAGGAACAAACAGAAGCTGATGAAAACAATCCCACCACACTTTCCCTCTCTTTAACAAAGATCAATAGTTCGAAAGAGTGAAAAAAACACTATTCTGCACTGCCATAGGGAAGATCCTACCCAAACAATCAAATCACCATCTGTGTAGTTCTGTTTGTGGCATACTCCATTACAGCATGCAAGAAGTCTAGTACCAAACTTGAACACTTTGTTTTTCAGGCTATTGTGCAACACAGAGCTCTGCAAGGGACACTGCTTCTGTAAGTGCAGGAACATGCACTGATATTTCAACAAATCATGCACTTTTTGCAGGCTAAATGAGTCTTTGTTCTCTGGTCTGTGGTGCTGGATGGTCTCTAGCTATCTCAGAACACTTACAAAAAAGCAGTAAAACATCTCAGTTACTGCTGTATGAACAGGAGTATACTTCTTGGTGCTTCACCTTTCCAGAACCAATAGGCATCAGTACTTATAGTAAACAAGACAGACCATGTCCAAAAGCAAAGACAAAAAGACAAACATACGTATTCACTTCTCCAGCAACATCATGGCTCCATTTTGCTCTGTCCTCTGATGTCTCACATCTCTTTCTGCTGTAGTTGTACAATTTCCATTCTCCCTGTTAACAGACCCTTTGCTTACTGTTCAGTCTGCTATGAAGCTTTCCTTACCAATGACGAGGGTGTCCTTAACCAGAGCAAAAATAAAGGAGGCCTCCCTGCTCAGATCACTTCGTCAGTGAAACCACTACCTCATGGCAGAAGAAGATCCATTGCCTACGATGTCTTATAAGGCAGATGTCTTCAATACAATCCAAGGTTCAATGCAGGACAGGTTGAGCATCACAGTGTGAGCAGGACACAGCTCAAAGAGCCAGGTCTGTTGAAGAGGAAGGGCTCCTTTTGCTCTGCTTGTGTTTCTAGTAGCATACAAAGCATCAAGTATATACTAATGAGTTTTCTTCTCTTAATATGTAATTGGAAAGCAATAAAATCTATCAAGAAAATGCAGTTTTCAGTTTTCAAAGCTATGGTACCTACCCACTTGCAAAACTATACTGATTTGCAATAGCACAGAAAAATAGATAGCTGTCTGGGCTGCCTATAAGCTACATTAATTGTGGTTTAGAATAACAGCAGTGATGTGGATAGAATGATAGAGTGCCTTATAATTATTTAAAATATCTATTAACATTTTTTAAAATTCAAAATCATTAGAATATATTGGTCAAGAGCTGTATAAAAGTAATAACATGTTTACTATGGCATTGAGCAAAAGAACACTTGAACACTCAAGTCTCTGCTTTACAGATGTTTTCTTTCATTTCTAGGGAAGTCATTTAAGCCTTTTTTCATTCTTCATGCAGCTCCACAGGTGACAGAGAGACGCAACTAAGCCCAGTGTCTTTAGTCCTCTCTTGAATAGAGGCTTCTGATACCCTGTACAAATGCAAGATCCTTTATCATGCAACAAGTCAAAACAGAAGAGACAGCTTTACTTATTGGGAATCAAATTGTCTTAGAAACAAATACAGATACATCGCTGAGAAATACAGCAAATGAAAATTGCCAATTAATGTTTGTCAATCTCACTCCTCTCTGAAAAACAGTATTGCACTTGAAATTCCGTAGTTGTGCTTATGCCTGTAGTTTCAGAAATAGCTTTACACAGTGCCTTGGATGTCACAGTGTGTTTCCAAGAAAGACCAATTTCAAAGATTACAGACATCAGTTACTCAGCTGCTTTTAGAACATCCATCCTCAGGACTAAGTTGCATAGGGAAGATGGCAGGGATGGTCTGAAGGCATTCAACCAATCAGCTGGTCCCCTTCTGGTACTGGACTATGATTTCATGGAAAATACACTTAGGGATAAGGACCTTTATATCTAGTACAAAATAGAAGTACTTTAAAGCTGTGGTTTGTAGCAAAAAAATCCCACATGTTATTGGCTTCCCACTTCCTGCAGACTTGCTGAATAGTTTTCAGGCAGAAGCTCTGTCCCCTGTGGTATATGCTGGCACTGTTGATTTACAGCAAGGAATACCACTCTTTCAAGCAAGCAGGAACTTCTAAAGACAGACATTTATTTCTCCATTCAGGGGGGTAATGGTCTCTGTGCAGGGTGATGTTCTTTATATCTCATTCCACTTAACTGGCTAGGCAGGATGGTACCTCATGCTATCTATAAAGACTGATGCAAGAAATAATTACACATAGGGGCTATGCGTGTTGCAGAAAGTGAAGGTGACTTTCTTTCCAGGTTTGCCACCACTCAGACATTTTTCACCAGCTGCATGCAAACATTCATCCTTCGTACACAGAAATTAGCATGAGGCATTGTATTAATATACCATGACCAGTGCACACTCATTATTTGATGCACGAAGCAAGCTGAGTCAGATCAGACCAGAGATTTCCTGACATTCTTCAGGAAGGATCTATTCTTCCTTTTGAGGTTATTATCCCCATTACGAAGCACGACAAAGCAAAGATTTGCTGTACAGCCATGGGAGAAACTTAGAAGATCTCTGCAATGCATGCAGTGTAATGACTGGGGAATGTCTTGGTGACCATGTTCTGGGCTTTTCTTTAACCAAAAATGTATGGTCTTTTGAAGTGCTGAAACTCTGTGGCCTACATGCTTAGGAGATCTCCACTGCTTTGAAGTATTTGTAAGAAACTTCACTTTTTGGAGAAAGCAGTAGCAGATAGTCTGACTTGCAACAAGAGCCTTTGGAAGATGTCCAGCTTGCAACAAGCTGCTTTGAGTGACACCATTTGAATCTTCTCCATCAAAAGATGCTTTCTACAGATATCTCTAACTATACTTCAGGATCTGAAGATCTCATTTGGATACCACTATGCCAAGCATTCTATTGTGCTAATCTGAAGAACAGTAAACAAACAGAACAGAGAGAAACAAAATAAAGGAGATGTCAATAAAACCTCAGGAAAGCATAGCTTTGCAACAGCTACAGTGTGCTGCCTATATTCCTTAAGTTGTCCTTTTTTTTTTTTAAATCAACATCACTTGCATTTGCCCAAGTCGTTCACAAGACCTAAGAACACTTGCAGAGCCACAGTTTGGCAGGAAGAGTCGCCAATCTTTATTTTTAGCTATTTTTCAAGAAGAACTTTCAGCAGACATATGGAGACATGAGTGAACAAGAAAAACACATCTGTGAACAAGAAAAATAATTTCCCAGCTGATATCACAGACAAAATGTATTCCACATTGAATTTCTAGAATTAGAAATGGTGGAAATAACATGATTTCCAGAGGGAAAACATCCCTGATTTAAGAATCATTGATGGGGAAAGAATCATGCAACTGCAAGTGTAAGAACTGTAATTAGTGACACTAATGAGATGGCCACAGTCTCATTTGCCCTCCCAGTAGATGTACACTCGTCCAACTGCATACCATGAAGAATGACACCGACATCACAGATGTACAGACATATCTGATACAGCACGCAATTTTCAGAAGGTCACATAAGTAAGGCAAAAACTCTTAAAAAATACGAAGAGAACCTTTAGTACTAATGAATAGAAGTAGTGGGGAAAAATCCCTTCTAATTTTTCTTCTTCAATAGAACAAAAAGGTAATTTTTCTCTACAGTGGAATGACAAAGCAGTGACAGCTAAACATTTGGACTTGGCAGTAAAGGAACTTTTCAAAGATTGTCTCATGAATTTTAACACGGTAGTGCTCACAACACATAGGCAAAAAGCCACATACAATGCTGAAATTCCTTTTAGAGATGATACCACCTGCAGCTGTCCCAAATAGACGACGAAAATAGATGGTGAACTTCCCTGAAATTCTTAATAATTGCATCAGATTTGTTCCTTAAGACTTTTTTTTTTTTTTTTAAACTAAGAGGTCAGATAAGAAGCAATCCCTTTGTAAAGAATGTAAAATTTCTCAAGTTCATTGTGTGCACTGTAGGCACGGACTTTTAGAGAAGAGGCCCTGTTAAGTATACTATTTTCCCTAGGGAATGATTATGATTCACTGAATACCACTGGTAAAGACTTCACACCAGGGTGTCCACAGTCATCAGTGATTCTTTCCTTTAAATTGGAAACAGAAGTGAAAACTCATTTTCAATGAAGGCCAATAAAATCCTTTTTTGGTAAGGTAACAGACAGCAGACTCCTCATGGTGCCTCATTTGTCACCTTTTGTTCAGGGGAGTTTGTCCTTCGTGGTGAAACTGCACAGAATCCAGTAAGTTTGGAGATGACCTGCTTCTGTTTCTTAACTACTCATCTCTAAAGCAGCACAGAAACTTGATCCCATTGTCTGGAAAGGGCAGTTGGGTTCTAAAGTCAGAAGAAAAGCTACCAAGTACTGAAATTGTTTAAGGTGTGCTGTGGTTGTGCACATTCACCCTGAAGGTTCTCTGCACTCAGGCATTTTAGAAGACAAAGATGGCAAGAAGCAAATGTGTGCATGTACAAGATAAGGTAAGAGCTTCTGTTAGTGATAAGTAACTTTCTTTTCCATATTTAAGTGAATAACCATTCACACATCACATTATGGATGACTTCCAAACTACAACCCACTTTCCTCTAAAATCACAAGTGATTGGTTGGTCTAGAGGTGGATCTTACGCACTTGTAAAAGCTTCAATGTTTTGAAAGCCTCTGCAGCATATACAGAGCTTGTCCAGGTGGAGGTGCAGACAATCTTGGTAAATGTCAGCAATTAAGACTTTCCTTAGAGAACCCAACACCACCAACACCAGTGAATTCGGGTGGAACATGCCACTGTCATGAAAGGCAGCTTTACTTTGGCTGCTCCAGCAGGCTGCACTGCGACTGACCAAATGAAACACTCATACAAAGCCAGACTACAAGACTGCCTATGGCCTACCTCTTCTTCGTGACAAGTAGTCAGCAGCTTACACCTGACAGACAAGCTAAGAATTGGAAAAACCCATCATGAGACTTCCCCTAAACAATCACCTGAAAAGGCTTAGAAACTTTCTGCTTGTTTTTTGGTTATATTTAATATACCTTAATAGATTTATTTTCCATGAATTTGTGTACTTGCCTTTTCAAACCACAAGCATGCTTTTGTCTCCAACTACCTTGTGACAAGAAGTTCCACAGGTAAATTAAATACTGTGAAAGAAAGCAGCTTTTATCTTCCCCTCTGCTTCGAATGTGTTATCTGCTAGTTCCATTTGATTCAAAACTGGAACAATGATTTCCTTTTCACCTTCTCCCTTACATTTCTCCTTACTCATCTTCTTTCCAGTTTAAGATTTTCTGCATTAATAAAACTATGAACACTAAGTTTTGTGTTCTTGTTATAACCAATCTCCAGGACTGTCTGGCAGACCCCATTCTGTAGAAATTAGATCCTTTTGATGTTTAGCATAAGCAAGAATGTCTTAGCTCTAGAAACATGAGGTTCTAGAATGAAGAAAAATAGGTCAAGTCCCACGTTTATATAAAGCTCAGAAATTTCTTTTTGGAAAAACACATGCCAGATTCACAGGAATAGCGTGTGCCCAAAGGAAACTGTATGAACAGGATCAATCAGCCAGATACTGCAAAAAAAAAAAAAAAAAAATTTTTTTTTTTAAATCCAACTATTTAAATAGCACCAAATAACCCATACGGGTTCAAACAGTAAGCCCAGGATTCCAATGGGAAGCAAATGTAGGAATGAAAGGGAAAAAGTCCTTGGAAGTTTAATTAAGCAAACCTTAAGTCAGATGTTTCTTGGAAGGAATCTCACATCTCTCTCTTAATGTTGTAGTGTGCTCATCACCTGAACACAGCACAAAATGTCTGCATAAACTCTGTATTACCTCACCCTTCAGGACTCTGGCGTGCACCTGTTCAAAACAAACAAGAAAGACTGTCATAAAACAGACTCCTTCACTTAGAAGTGATGCAAACATTACCAAGTAGGAGAGAAGAGGATCCCCTGGTAACATCAACTGGTCTCACCACTGAACAAGTTGCTGAATGATTACTGTGGGCTTTGTACTGGCAATTTTCTAATAGTAAACAAGAGCACTTTCAATGAAACTCATTGGTGAGCATAGGAAAGTTAATGTCATAAAAGCAAAGAGAGACAAAGTAAGCTCCACGTGAGGAGTATACATATAATTGTACTCCCCTCACGTTCAACTACTATAAATCCAAAATGCTTCACCATTCTCCTTTCCTTTCTTGTACAAGAAAACATTTTCTGGAAAATGCACTCACTCCAAGATGCTAAAGAAACAGTTTCATGCCGCTCTACTGAATTTCTTAACTGAAGCACTTTAAGAGGTTTTTGACAGACATGGAAATAGCAGACCTGCAAAGAGACAAATTAAGGATGTTACGTTTGGCCCACAGCACCCAGCATGCACAAACACACAGAAGGACTCAAGGCTGAAGATCACATGGAAGTAGAGAAAGTAAGAGGCTAGAACTGCAGGATCTGTTCCTGACTCTCTGCTGTATTACTGCACGTGCTCCTCTGGTAACAGCAGTAGCACTCAGAGCTGGGATCAGCAGATGCACAAAGTAACACTGACATTTCCTTTGATGCTCTGGCTGCCCTAACATATCCAGAGGCTGAAGAGGAGTTCAAAATCTAAGTGTTTGTCTCAAAATAAAGGACAAGTCTCGATATCTCTGGATTTTTTATTTGTTAGAAACAGAAGAAAAAAATTTCAAGAACAAGGGATGTAAGACTTCACAGCTCCTAAAACTGACAAAACCAGTCCCTTCCAAAGGAAGGTCTCCTACTGCAACATGCATTTCTCAGGACATTTCAAAAAGCTTAGAGACAAGATGTCTCATACATTTTTACTAAGTCATCACAGTTACAGATGTATAGTTGACTACGTTTAACATGTAGTGCAAAGAAGCTCAGAAAACATGCTGGCTATAACTGAGTACAACGTTAGCTGAAAATCAGTGGGTAAGAGACTGGCAAAAACTGACAAAAACTGACAAAAAAAATTAATCTACTTTCATAATAAGCACAAATTTGCCAGAATTATCAATTACAGAATGCTGTTTCTGTTAAAGATCCTCTGAAGATAATCACCTTTCCTGGGCTAGCTGTGCAAAGTATCTATGTTCTAAAACTGAGAACAGGTTCAATGGTGGCTGTAATCACCTGAATAAAGAAACTAGATAACAGAAACAGATAAAATCAGAATTCCACAAGGATGCGTATGCCACAGCTACTCAGTCCTGCACATGATACCTAGTGGAATAAGGATAACTTGGATTCCCTAGGAGGAAGCAAGGAATAAAAATCAGTTATCTCCTGAAGCTAGATCTTGTAGGGAAACTGCTCTTTAGATAGTTCTGAAACAGAGCTAGAGGCTACAGCCAACACGGAATGTGGCAGAGTGGGCTATCAGAAGACAGACCCAACATTTTGAAGCAGCTTGGATGCAGTAGTTTGAAGTAAAAAATTCTGCAACTGAATTTTCACTAATGATGAATCAACAATGTAACACACGTTAGAACATTAGAAACATGTATCTCAGAGATCCCTGAGTGCAATTGGAAGAGTACAGAAAAGACTCGATCTGAAAGTAACATCACAAGATTTTTCAGAACTCCTGGTCATTGAGGATAGTGGAAAAAGCAGAGGACAAATGATGCAGTGATACTTGAAGAAAACAGATGAAAGATGCAAGGAAAGCAAACAGAATCATGACTGCCTAGGAACTGAAACATAAGCCAATGAAGTAAGATTTTGGATAAATTAAGTATTTGATCTCTGTCACACGCATGAATGGAACAGAAATAGAAAAATGCAAGTTCTTTCCTATGAGTTCATGCCTGGAGCAAATGATAGTTAAGCTAATGGGCAACGAAAATAATAATTTAATCTTTTTACAATTCATCTGGTCTTGAATGACAAGAAGTATGCACAACACAAGAGTGAACATGAATGCAAGCAATCTTCCAAGAGAAAACACTTCTCCTCTCTGACACTGTTTCTGTCAGCCTTTTGGATTGATCATTACCTAATTTGTCAACATACAAGAATGATCTCTTAACACTGATTATGCAGCGTAGAAATGACAAGGGAGTTGTGGAATAAGAAAACAGATCAAACGGGCTCATAAAATGCAACCTCTGAGGGCTCTGATGCAAACAACAGGAAACATTGTATTCTCTGGGAACCACAATCATACTGCTTGCAAGGGAAAAGCTGGAAAATACCATGAAAACAGGCAAGCTTTCCTTTAACCTGGCATCAGCGAAGAGCCAGAGCTGAAGCTGCTTCCTGTTCATTTTAAGCAAGGGTGGATCTTCTCTCCAATATATTTTCCAGCTGCTGATGTTGTTTTCTAACACAAGCAAATTAATTTTCATAACATTAGGAAAATTCTAACTGAAGCGCTTCACTAAGCCACCATTGCAACTGATAGGAGCCACCTGGGCCTCAGAGTTCAACCTTGGGTCTGAAACAACCAGCCAATTAAAGACGTTTATATAGCCTAAACAAACAGAAATCAAAATGCAAAAATAAACCACACAAATATAAGCATCCAGCAGTGAAACAATGACAGATTTAAAATCCCATCTAAGAGCAAATATTTTGGGGGGTGTGAATTAATAACTGAAATTATAATCAAAACAAACAAATGAAATTACTTTATTCAAACTGAGCATTTCCATGGCTCTGTGCCAAAATTCAAGATGGCAACGGTAAGGATGTTTCTACTCATATGGTCTAAGATTTTTCCCTGCTGCTGGTTGCTGTGATGGCAGCAAAGAATACTGGCTGTTACCAGACTAAGACAGCCTGAAATGGCTGCGCAAATGGGGAATCTTTACATTCAAACTTGGACCTTGGGAGAAACAATACAGACAGGTGGAGAACCTCTGTGTTATAAAAAGATCTCACAGTTAGTGATCAGGAAGAGTTGGAAGAGACCCCCAGACTCATCAGCAGAAGTTCTCAGAGGCAGTCATCAGCTTACAGCTGCATCTCCAGCTTCCACAGATGTTCAGGTACTCTCCTCTGTAGCTTGTCTCTCAGCAGGGACTCCTGTTCACCCTGCCCTGGATGTTACAGGAGCGTGGTGGTCTGAAGTCACTGCTGCCTCTTTCCTCTGCCCCATACTTGGAAGCAAGACTGGATTCCTCACCTGGTGTTCAATGCTAGTCCTTTTCTGCAAGCAGAAGCTGGAGGAAAACAAAACAAAACAAAACAAACAAACAAAAATATCAGAAGGTAAAGCTTTTGAGTACTCAGAGCAGTCTGTTTTATTGAAATGCTGCTGCATCACCCTGCAAATCTCAGCTACCACCAGAAATCTGAATTCTTCCTAATCTGAATGTCCCTATAATACAGCCTTCTTCTACAGAAAGAGATCACATAACAGTATGACAAACCTAAAGTAATAAGCCACTGTCTGAAAAAGTGCTCTTAGTGTTCCTTTCAGGCCTCAAAATACTCTCTGCACTTCCTGATGTAACTCACCTCTTCACATGCTGCTCCAGTATTTCTACATCCTTCTCCCATATCAGAACACTTTTTTTTTCTGCACCTTTTACTCATTCGCTTGCATGGGAATCTACTCCCGCACTCCAAAAGATGCTGAGGACCTGCATGCCAGAGTAGTGGGCATGTGAAAAAGTTTATCTTTAAAAGAAACATGATGGGGATTGGAAAGATTTTCTTCTTCCCACCATTGAAGAGAGGGATTTCAATTCTGTATACTGCTACATTTTCCTATTTAGGCATGTTATGGGAAAAAGTCAATGTCATTGTCACTTCTTTTTCATAAAAATCCTCAGACATTCCTTTAAAAAGAAAATTCCAAAACACTTAGAAATGTACTACATTTATTTTGGACAGTTTGCATTTTACAGCTAATCTAGTTGGTAAAGCTTGTCTGCTGTATTCAGCACATCAGCTTGCTCCTAAATGTGAGCGACACTTGTTGAGAGCTGAGTTTATTAAAAATACTGCTTTATTTTAAAAAATACACTCTCCTTGAAAGCCCAGCATAGAGCCAAGCATCACACAGCACAGAGGATCTGGAAAGATGTTTAGAAAGCAGCATTGCCAGCTCTGTCACTGCACAGAAAGTTTGGAACCTGAATTAGGAACAAAACTGTCAACCATGTGTATTAAGATAGGATACCAGTCCAGAAAACTGTCCCTTGACGATATCCTGATATTAAGAAAATGAAGGCATATGGAAGAGACAGCTGACTTCAACCTCATCTTCCCATCTTGAAGAGGCATTTGAGCCTTCTTTGTCTTATAGAAACGCACTATACAGTTTATATTTTCTCACAAATGGAATTAGAAACACCTAATGAAAGTTCCCCTTGCGTGGCTACCTTGAGGACTCAACACGGGGAGAGGTGTTTACATGCCTAAATATAAATATGTGCATTCTTACCATAAGCACAGCTTAGCTCATGCCCATTGCTACAATTCAGTTATTTCATAAATATTAACATATATAACTTGATAAAGTTTTAATATTTCAAAGCTACTTGCGAGCACTCTGCATCCTTTTAAGTTCTGGTTGAGCAGGGGCAACAGAAAAACCTCAGATTATTACTGACAGCAGCCAACATGAAGTGTTGATTCTCTGTGGTGAGCACCACATACAAATATTTAACAAGGTGTTGAAACATGAAGTATCTGCCTATATGTCTGTCCACATGCTTACGTGTCTTCCACAACTACACGCAAAAACACCACTTTCATATTTAGAACAGTTAAACAGAGGCAAAAGGTTTATCTCAATTTTATGAATATGCCTGAGTCATAGGAAATCACAGCTATATAAAAGGGATATTTGCATGCTATAATGCAGTGCTATATAGATTTTCCCAGCACAGATGTAGACAGTTTTAGTTAGACACCAGCACATAGTCTACTCTGCTTCCAAGTTGCAGGAATGAGATAGAGCAGAGTACCAAGCTGGTTGACAGTACTAGGTCAGGGACCTGTGCTAACATTTTTTTTAGCACTGGTTAGTTCTATTTCATCATACCCATAACTTCTCACTTCTGCCACAGACTTACATGTCCAAATCTCCTGAATCTTCCTGTGCTGAAAACAGGAGCTTACATTCTCCCTGAAAAACCCTAATAACTCTAGAAATTCAGATCCTTTATCCCAAAGCAGAGGGAATTTATAATCCAAGTGTGATGTCCAGCATTCTCTTGGTACTATACAGTACATCTAAGAAAGGCAATAAATAGATAGGTTTTATTTATATCCTTGGGTGATTGACACTAGCAAGCTAGGACAGCTGGCAACTGAAGGCCAACCTTCCCTCCCCCATCTTTTGGGCACAATTTCAAGTTGGCTTGCTGAAATGGGCAGATGAAGGAAAGCAGCCGTTCCCAGGCATGATAAAGCACTTGAGGGGGATGACTCAAACAGGATGCACACAACTGTATACAGTTGAGCAAAGTCTCTCTACAGTAAAAGAGCAGTAAGCAGTCTTAATAACAAATGGAGACGTGGTGGTGGAAGCCTCTCTGAGGGTCTCTCCTCCTCATATTACTTAGAAGACACTGGGTGGGCTCCTGCCCCTGACTGCTGATGCCCTTCTGTACTTGACAGCTTTCATTCTGCTTTTCCTTATTCAGTTTCCTACTCTCTGGTTTGTTGTGGCTTTCTCTTCTCTGGCTCTTCCACACATTTCATTTCATAACTTCAGACACTCCTTTTATCCTATTCACACACATTTTGGCTTCTATTTTTAGCCTCAATAAAGTAATGCCAGATTAAAACAAAATCCAATTTGGATGGGCAAAGTCATCCTCTCTATAGGTAGCTTAACGCCAAACGGCCAGATGTGAGACACTGGTAGCCAAGACATTATATAACCTCTCCATAGTCTTTGCACACCTGATTTTGAATGACATTTCCAACACAAGGAAATGCAGGCAGTTTGCCACCACCTAACTACTGAGAACAAGCTCAACCTCCAGTCAGGCAAAAATGCCAGCTGCCTGAAGTTATTACTTATCCTGCTTAGGAGCTCTCTTTGAGTCTGTCAGAAGTGAAGGCTCCTGAAATTCCAGCTGAGTTCAAGTTCTCAAACAGGGAAGCCAATTTCTAGAGGCTGTTCTTCATTGAATTTCTGTTTTCCCAATGTACCTGAAACTTGGAAGATCCTTTCCTTGAGGATGTGGCATGAGACCAGTAGCAACAGGAAAAAGGCTTTCATAAAAGTCTTTTTTTCATAAAAGAAAGGCAAAAAGTTGACCAAAGGTGTAAGAGGCAGGCTGTTGTCACAAGTTAAACAATAAATGTAATTTCTGATCATTAGAAGTGAACACATATCCTCAGCTCTAACTGAGAAGTAATAGCTGAGTTGGCCATTACCCCATTAACCTCATCAGAGAAGGACTGAGAATGCTGCTTCTGGCAGAGCTTCATGCTCTGCTGAGATTAATGAGACTTCCACAGTTTTCTGGTATCTGGATAAGCTCAAACACAGGCACACCCTGTTCATAATTTGTGGTGCATCTATTTTTTTAGACCCACCAATATGTGTTTATTGCTGGTCATAAGGTAGTGGCTCCTTGCTTCCACAAAGAGTACCAAAAAACAGCTTAAGGAGAAGGCCTTTCTCTACTTCTCTTCCTTCTGCTCCGTCTGGTAATACAGGCTTACCTGTTATTATCTGACATGGGATAGCTTCAATAAATATGCTAGAGAAGAAAGAAGATTTTTTTTTTTCCCTCCTATCCTTCCTTATGGAATCATGGATGTCAGCAGGGGAGAGAAAGGTGATTCAGGATGTTGCTGTAGTGCATGGAATAACAATGTCTTTAGAAAGATAACGCTAAGAACAAATGTGAAACCAAATATCCATAATAACTGATCATAACTGATTCTTTGCCCTCCCGAAAAGGGAAACACAATAGTAGGAATCGCCTCATCTTCCATCTTAAGCTCAACTGGTTCCCAAAATATGATACAACAAAATGACTGTTTCTCCATAACCCTTTCTCTGCATAGAGATGGCACTACAGATTGGATAGAGAGATGCTGGCAGAATATTGCTACTGCTGTTGCCAAAGGCTGTTCACAGGGTGAAAGGCATCACTGGAAAAGTTTGATGCAAGGTACAGAGTATCAGACCACTCATCCCTTTCAGTAATCCACCGAGAGCTTCTCAGCCAGGCAGGTATTTCTGGAAGGATTTTCATGGAAGAGATTGTTGTGACTTTCTTCCTGGATTGAGATAAGTTATGAGCTGAGACCATAAGTTGCTCTTTTGTGTCGTAAGACATATTTTGCCTGAGAGTCAAAGATGTCCAAGGTAGAGGTTACTCAAGGTGCCCATTTTAAGGTCATCTTTCTAACTCAAAACCACTTGGTGCAGTCAGTCACAGCAACAAGAAAGAACCACGAAGGTGGCAAATGAAGGCTGGAATTAACAGGATTAGTGAGAGGGAGGAGGCGTACCAGCAATGCACCGTGCAGAAATCTGAGTGACTTCTTCTCCCAGCTGCTCTTGACAAAGGATTTGGACAGTGTGGTGAGACCAGCTGAAATTGTAGCCAAGGTTCCTTTTGGGAATGTGGTATCAACATAAAAATAAATACATTGGTGCTCAATAAGCTACTGCCTCCCTATGCTGCAGAAGAGCCTGGCAGAAGCTGAGGAAGCCTGGACAAGGCTGGGCAGCTGAGAATTCCATCCTACTGTAGCAAATAGCTGGGGGTCTGACACCAGCCATGCACAGTGTAAGTACTTGTTGCATCCCATCCCATCACTACCCTTTATACTACATGTCATGAGTGCCTGTTGTGTTTTACTGACTTTCTTCTTCTTTTGCTGGTGCAAAGCAATTTTTGAATCTTGTACATCTGCATGCCTGCTAAAATAGTCTCTTCTTTCTACAAGCTTATATAAAAGTCTGCATTTCAAGAATGATGATAATTCAGGCAGTGGGTAGCCAACAGTCATCACAGCTCAGACATCAGCTCCAACATCAATTCCAATTTCTTGTCTCCAATGAAAAGATGTACATGAATTTCTCATGAAGGCCCACACAATAATGTAAGGTATAAAAAAGGCTTCAGAAATACACAATATACTTGTATATTTCCAGTAAAATATAAAATCTTGGAATTGCGGTAGATATAAAGAAGAGTAAGTGAAAAAGTATCCCTTACTATCACTGTTGCAAGCTATTGCATTCATTACTCTACAGCTAACCACACTGCTTGCACACTCATCTTAGTTGGACGGTGCTCAAATACTGGTCTTCTTCTTACCATGGAGAAGGAGATCACCAGAAAACTTAAGAACAGTGTGCCTTCCACCTAGACAAGGTCCAAAACAGCTTGTCAATCCCCATATGCTTCATCAGGATCCAATTCTAACTTCTTACAGATGATGACATACTCTATTTCAAACAGCTGCATACCTTCAGAAGCTGGCACTTACGTGGATACGGGAGCCAGGTTACAAAGTTAACAGACAAGTGTGAAACATTCTTTAACTAAGCTCAAATACAGACCTAGGAATCACACTGAGTAAAATCAACTGCATACCACCTAGCTCAAGAAGTTTCCTTACTAGATTCAGATTAAGTGATTTTTCAGCCAAAAATCAAGCCAGAAGAATTCTGAATATTAGTCAAATGTAGTATTTCTTAACATTTCTTCTATTCCTTTAATAGAATAAACTCTCTCCAAACTTTCAGTAACTCAGGTAAGAAACTAACTGTCCAGACACTACAAATAACGCCAAATGATACATTGCAGATTTCAGTGTTTAGATTTTCACGTCTGTATACTCATAAGAACCTCTGCCTTCTCCCTCATTACTCCAATGGAATACAGTTCAAAGGGAACTTCAGTCTCTCTGTAACATTACAGTGAGGCCATGAGGATATAATGGTGGCTTGTTTCAGAGTCCTAAGCTGCTTTGCAGAACTGCTGACTTTTACTCTTGTATCTTCTCAAGAAATCTGAACTCAAGACCTTGAGCCCACTGCACACTACCTCCTACAGTTGCAATACTAACCAGCAGTGAACTGTTCTCTGTACAGTCCAGTTAAAACATTCCATGTTGACTCACTGTTATTTTGAACATCCTCTTCACTTTTGGTTAGATCATTTGTGACACCTTTATGCTTCTCTGCAAAGCCCCAGTAACTACTACTCCTTGGATAGGCTATCTGAGTAGACAAAGAGAATGGGCTAAGAGCCAGAGGGACAACAGCCAAAGTCAAATGAAGGTCCCAATAACCAGCAGGCAATGGTAGATCGTGGTACTCAACTGAATTCCTCATTCTTCCAGGATGTTTTCTTCACAGAAGCAGTCTCATACAGTGGTATGAAAGGGTTGTGCAAACTCTGCAATTAACTGTCACACAGACTGTTATCCAGTTAAGGTCCATTCAAGCTTCTCAAGCATTTTCAAACATACTTGCATGTGTATACACAGAGGTTCTGCTCGATTCCTCTTATCTCCAGAACTGTTCACAGCCTCCTATCTTTAAAATCTTGCAGCTTATTTTGTAATCTGCTTTATGAGTTGTGTCTTCAACTCTTCTAGTTGGTATCCAGGATATTAAATACATGTGAACCCCAAAATAAGCTGTTGATGAGGGAAATCAGGGCCTTAATGTAAGCAATCAATGAAGAGTCGAGAAGAAAAACAGCTGTTCCTACAGGAAGAACCAGAGTAGTCTCTGAGACACAGACTGGGCACAGCAGCCTCTGACGCATACCAGTGGCTTGGTGGAAAGCTGAAGAAAATATCATTCCTCTTGTTTCCAAGAACAAACATGTTGCTCCACTTTGTTCAATCACTGCAAAATTTAGCACTATTCTGTGAGCTACATACCTCTTCTAGAGACAAGGAAGCTTTGAGTGACTTGCTCATCAGATCCTAGTTCTGACGGCCTACCACCAAAATTACAGGGCAGCAACCACGAGGGTGCTCTTAAAGCTGTTAGAAAGGTTAGAATTTAGCATACAAACACCTTCATATAAGTCCACTCAGCCATACCTTGAAAACTGCATTTTATATTTGCTTGTAAATTTATGTATAGTATGCAAAAAACTCAAACTATACAGTAGATGAGAACTTTTGTCTCAATTATATATATGCTACAGTGTTGACAAAATTTTATTTATTTTGATAATCTCATTATATTCCATTTCTAAGCTGTCACGTTCCAGTGCGGTGTAGGGTCTTTGTTATTGACAACAGCTGCTCACACTATAAAATCTCTGGTAGGGCAGCTGAAGTTTCAGGCAGGTGGTAACGTGTAGGAGGCAGTTTGGAATCGTACAGTAAGTGCATGAGTTGAATGTTTGTGCTGGAGGATCAGCCATAAAAATCGATGACATTAATATTGGACATGTCACCTTTAAGTTTCAGAGCCAGATATCCAAGAGATGGATTAGGCAGTTCACCTCTCTGCTAACTTCTATTTCAGCCCATGAAAACATAGACAAGACTGCTTCAGTGATACTCAAGTCACATTTTCAAGGTTTTCAAAGTAAAAGCTGAGGTCAGAAACATAATTCTTTCAAAGCACTCTAGATCATAATTTATCTGTATTTGCCATTACAGCATCGTCACAAATTACTGCAGGCCACGGGTAATATGGGTTCATCAAGACTACGCTCTACTGCAAATATGACTGCATCAATAAAAAATTCATTGGGTCCCCATTTTCTGAGATCTTCAATTTGTATTAGCAGAGAAACTTCTTTAAATGAATTAATCCCTAGGGAAGGATGAAGATTTGATTTTATAGGTCTCAGTGATCTTTCTTTGGGAGGTTTCACCTCTATTGACTGACTTCACTATGCAGCTGATTCACAAATCTCAGTGACACCCTTCTGAACTAAGGCACTCTTCTGCAAGACTGAAGAAAAATGTAAAGAATGTCCTGGCCTTTTATTACAGTCCAAGCTTGAACAACAGAGCATCTTTGAGCCAAAGCCTAAAGCAGGGAGGCCATTTTAGCCAAGTTTTTTTCCCAGCCACATTTTTAAGCATCTTCCTCTTCCAATTCTATGAAACCGAGTCTTTGCTCCCTTTTGTTTAGTCTTTTCAGTCCCGGGAGGAATAAATTCTCTATGCAGCCGAAGCCAAGCTGTTACCTAGGAACCACTATGTGCAGAGTAGACAGCTGTGTTTCTTCCTTTTGCTAAGGTTTTTTAGTTTTGCTTTTTTTTAACTGGCAGTTCGTGAGAAAGATGAAAGCACCCCAGCATGGCTACACCCCTTTCATGGGCTTCAGCACTCACCTGTGGAATTCGACCCCGGTTCACAGGATGCAGCACTGCGAAGGCTGTTCTGGAATCCGTTAAGTTGCCTTTCAACGGAGGTCACCCTAACAAGTAAAAACATCAATTAGAAAGAGATGGGAAGGGATATACCAAGAAAGAATAAAGGTTCTGAACAACAACAATAAAGTTTTAATGAGATTGCGGCTATGAAGCTGTGCCTGAACATGGTGTGAAACAGGTAGTGACAGCAACAGCTCCAAAAAGGCAGGGGATGACAGACGAATGCTCAAGCCACCAACAAGACTTCAATGCACCTAAAACATCTAATTGTCCCACACCTCTTGGATGCTGATTTTGAAGGATAAAGAAATGGATGGTAAATGGTACGAAAAGCACAACTCAACCAGTAACTCTGTGGTATCCTTACTCCAGTGATTTGAAGCAAAATGATTAGGCAACATTAAAACAAAAACGCACATGAGTAGGGGGCTTGGCAAAAACAAGCTTCATTCAAAATCTGAGTCCTTGCATCCTGTCTTAGTAGAGACAACTCATTTCGACAAGATTTCTCACGTATGTCGGAAACTGAGACCTGCAGGATGCATTTAGTCTCCAGCAGTAAACACCCAGTCCTCAAGCAGATATTCATGCAAATCCTCCTGCATTTAGCTCTGCATCTGAGTTACAGTAAAACAATACTCTATGGAGAGCAACTGCACTTCCTTTAATTATTATAAATACTCATTACCAAAATGAGATCAAGCTCTCCTACATATAAAAGAAATCCACTCATAAAAGTAGTATAAATTGTACAGCTGCAATGATCTACTCTGTTTTTAAAAATTAATCTATCTATTCTTGGTTTGTCCTCTCTTCTCTTACACCTCTGCCTTTTCTTCCTCCCTGCCCAACTCTGTTCTGATCGCTACACACTTCTGTATGCACACTCCTGTTTCTCTGCCACAGTGCTTCTCCTTCACTCATTCATATCTGCCATGAAACGGGGTTACTCCGAGCTCTTCCCCTGAAGAACGCTGTAAACTCCAATCCTCACGTGATGCCCTGATTACTAACAGACTCAGGCACATGTGTGCATTTACTGCAGTTTTCTTTGAAATGCTTTGCCTTCAAATTTCAAAGGCAGCAAGTTGCCAGTAATCCGGGTGCTTCTTGCAACTGCATGGCCAGAGAAGGCCTCCTATACTTTATCTCAGCTGCATTTTAGTAAAGTAAATTGAAATCTATACAGGAAAGGAAGAGGCAGCAGATACAATGTGGAAAGCACAGCCCATTACTTCAATCAGCTGTAATTTGAAATGCTGTTGTCAAATGAGGTGCCTGTTTCTATGTTTATTGTCTGAGAGAATTTTGGATCTGTACTTCTGTTTTGTTTGTGTTTTTTTTTTTTTCTGCTGACAGTGCACAGTCCATCCAGGGGCAGAGAATCCAGATAGATCTTTGTGCTTTTTATATAAACATTGCATGCTCACACTTAGCTTGTCCACTTCATTAATGCAGCACAATTGATAGCCAAATCTTGCTAATCTGTCTTTAGGAAGAATACAAGACTAGCAGTTGAAAATGTCATCAAGGATATCAGCAAGTACAACAACAAAAAATGACAAGGAAGTTACACTTCTACCTTTAAGTCTGCTTTACTTTTACTGCTTCCCACTACAGACTTGCCTGTTCCCTTTTCTTTCTACATCTTGGTTTTTGCAGTTTCAGCTGCCATCTCCATACAGCCCATTCTCAGACCTACCTGTGGTAGATCTGTCACCGTGCTAAGCTCACCTCTCAAGGTCTCTCTACTGTCCTGATAGAAATTCTAGTCCTGGAACATATTCATGACTTAAACTGAGTAAATCCTTTTCCAGTTTCTTCCCCCTTCAGTTGGCTGAAATCCCATAACTTTTCTCATTTTCCTGCTTCTAGCATCTATGTCATTTTTGCTTCCATTTCTCCAGTGCAATCTTTTGTTAAGTCCTCCATTTATTCCTCTTTAAAACTAACTAACAAACCCATCCTTTTCCCCGCTGTCCCCTTCACTTAAATATCTAACATTGGCCTTTTTTCTTGCTTATACAACTAAGCCCTCCTTGAAATTGATACTGACTTTCTTCATTTAGGCACTAAGCCACCTCTAAGCTACTCAGTCCTGGATTGCAAATTTGGAGGATGCTCTTGTGCCACACATGCAAAGAAATATTTTCTTGACTGAATTCTGAACACCTTTGTTGTAACAACCTATTCCTGGGATATCATGAATGTGTCTAATGGTCCAGTGGGGACACTAACAAATTTGCATCACATAAAGCCTAGAGTTTGACAAGAGGACAGCAACAGATGTGAAGAGCCAGAGCCAGGGAGCTTGTTCCTCTGTTGCTCTTGGCCAAGGTATCTCCACATGTGTATGTGTGTGTATGATCTGAGGCTAGCCAAGGGCTAAGAGCTGCAGGCCCAGTGAGCCCAGCTGTGTCAGGGTGTTAAATCAAGGCATGTCTCTCAGATGCACTGCTTTTGCTGCCAGAAATGTCTAAGGGTCAGGCAGACTGATTAACCCACATGCTCAGGAGCTAAAACAACAAGCATGCCTCAGTACAGCGATAGCAAAAAAAAAGTGGTCTCAGCAACAGATGCATGTTTGGTCTCCTGCTGCCTCTCCTCTTTTTTGGTGAGCACTCAGCTTGCATGTGTGACAGCATCAGCTCACTTGAGACACTTCATCCGTGTCTGTGAATAAGGACATATGGGACAGGATACAGACCAGAAATATAGCATTTTACAGTGCTTGCTCTATGGCCATTCTTTTGCACATTTGCCCAGCTTGGCCAGCCTGTCCTAGAACAGCTGGCTGCTGCTGTGTTCCACTTTAATCAGGACTCCACCCAGTTGTGGATTGGATTTCCTGAACCCTGAAGAAATTCATCACCTCTACCCTATTTCTGTGTTAGTTACAACCATGCAGAACTTTGCATCTTCTACTGCTGGTATTGTTCACAGCAAATAAATAGCCAAGAGAAGAACAAGGCAAGATCATGTGCTATGGTGTAGGAAATATTTGTTCTTCCTGAGTAGAGTTGTTGAGAATGATATTTACAGAGAAGTTCAGTACAAGAAATTAGGCCATGCTGATCAACCCCCCAGTTGTTATGTTTCAGTCTATCACTGGTAAAATCAGTGATCTTGGGCTTGCTCTCTCCCTGATAAAATCTTGAACTGCATGCTCCTTTCATCTGTCTGGTATTTCCTCTCTTTATGTACAGCAGTCTAACACTGGCAGCCGTATTTTTCTGAAAATCTTTCATTTAACTAATAGTTCTGTTCACAGGCTGTCCAAGCCTTGCCCTTCTTTAACATCAAAGAATCATTAAAGCTGGAGAAGACTTCTAAGATCATCAAGTCCAACTGTCAAACTTGATGCTGTCACTGAGAGCAGCTCTCTGAAAAATTACCATAGGAATGATAGTTTAGAAATCTGTATTTATTGTAATTTAGTTGTTCCTAAAAGCAGAAAGATTTTTTGTCTACCATCTGTACCAATTCGCTCTGGGTCCTCACAGTTGTGCTAATATATTTTCTTGCTTTGGTTGCCGTCATCTGTAATGTGAAAGTTCTATTCAGCAAATGCTGCTTCCAGGGACATCTGCTTCATCCCATGGCTTACAAATACTATTTATGTGCCTTCTGTTTCAAATTTTTTACACTCAGTTAGCAGCAGGTTTCTTCATGGTTCACAGGCAGCCAACAGTGGCAATACAAGCAGTGAAAAGGACCCAATCTGACCTCTGGAAAGAAAGAAGGGTTTGTTGTATCAGCTATTCAAAAGCTATCTTTCCACTTGTAATCTGAGTACAATTAATCAAAACTATGGAGCCACAGGAGATCATTTCATGAGCCTGTGTTTCTAAGTGGAGCTACATGTTAAACCATTTCTCCCAGTCACCACAGTCTTTTTCCACATCTTTAAAGTGGGCCCCAGTCTTCCAGTCCATTAGCTTAAACAAGGAGTCTGCTTTGGACACAGAAGAAGTTCTGTCTTAAAGTCAACCCGCCATATTTTACATGTTGAGAGACTGAAAAAACAAGAGAGACCATAACTTGAAAACACAAGACTGAATTGTCTGGCTGTTTCATTACTCTTTTCCTTTATGTTTTGAGCAGAGAAGCATCCAACTTACTAGACTGTATCTGACTTAACCAGTAATGTTCACCTTTAGCATCTCACTCTATTTGTAGAAGTGTTTTCAACCACTTATTCTTTTCCTCCTCTTCTGGAAGCCATGTGTGCTGGCTAGGATAGAAATGATAACGCGCGCAAAAGGATAGAGAGGTCAAAGAGAAAGTTGATTCTAGTTTGCCTTCACAGTTCAGTCTCTGGAGGAATTCTACAAAAAACTTGAAAAAGGTCGTTATTAAGATGTTAAACAAAAGCCAGGTGGTGCAAGAACAGGCAGAGAAATAAAGGTCTGACCTATTGAAAACTATGAAAAAAAGAAATGAGATACAAGAGCTTAAACAATAGTATGGGATTAGTTTCAGTGAATCTTGTGGAAATAATACATAGCAGCGAGGAGAGATCTGTAAGGAGAGGTCAGGAAAGCAGCCAACAAGAATTAGGGGTGAAAGTGAGCAGTAAATCAAAGATGACCTGACAGAGAAATGAAGCAGCCAAGAAGCCAAAATTAGATTAGATGTTACAGAGAGGGATATCTGCCACCTCGTAACCTTAGGATACAGTAGTCTCACACTGGAAAAGTATAATCCTGGGTGCTACAATGCAAGAACTCTGACAAACTGAAGAAAATATAGTAAATTCAGGACAATTAAGGATTTGGCAGGTGGAACTATTATCTGAGGTTAACAAAACCTCAGTAAGTCTAAACAACATTAGGAAACTCTAAGAAATAGAAGGATTTTCAAAAGATGGAAAGTATTTGCAAGAGAAAGTGTTGAGGGTGGTTCAGTATAGAGGAATGAGGTACAAGAAGATGAAATAAAGTAAGAATTCAGATTGTACATCAGGAGAAACTTTCTAAGAATCCAGTTATTTAGATTAATACAAAGCCTTCTGTAACACACTGTGGGGTTTCTTCCATTAAATTTACTTGAAAGCAGTCTGCCCAATGTCTGAGAATACTCTGCACAAAATAACCAGGGACTGTAGAGAACAGGCTAGAGAATGCAAGACATATTTCTTATCTCTAATTTAGATTCATTTGAGGCAGAGGCTTGCCTCTATCCACTCTTCCATGCAACTCTGGTCTACTCTTGACAACATGTTGGGCTAGACTGAGACACAGCAGCTTTTAAATTATTAGTTCCCAGCATGCTGGAAATATAGCTAGGCACTGGTGTTTTCCATGTAAGTGAAAAAATGTTACTTCAAGGTCCTATGAATGACAAGAATGGGTTCTGAGCTTCATACTGGAGTCTAAAAGGCAACTTGGAAAGTATTTCCGGAGTGGCTCCTTGCAGCCTTCAATACTTGGATTAGTTTGCTAAAATTCTGAAGGAATCTTTTGCTTTTTTTCCCCCTTCTGTGCATTTTTGGTGCTGAACTTTTTCCGGTTTTCCCACACTCCTGCCTGTCACAGAGCAGAAACCACAAAAATGCAGCAAAGTAAAGTCTGTCCAAGGAGCTGCAATTCCATCTCATAAGAATAAACATTTCTTCTGCCAAGAAGTGAGCACAGCACACCGGCATCTTCAAATACACATCTCTGCTGCCCGACAGAGAGCCCCACTGACACAGCCTGTCACCTGTACTAACATGAGCTATCCAACATTAAAGAACTCAGATATCAAATGCACCAGCATATACCTGCCAGACCTGATGCTTGCATCTGCATTTGCTGAGTTGACAAAGTCTACTGACACCTTGTTTTCTTTTTAGATAGTCTTGGAGATTCACTTAATATGCTAGCTCTTAAGATAGTAAGAGTACAAGCAGGAAATACACAAGCTTCCCACACACTGACAGTGCCCCAGCATCTTCATGAAGTGTCTTCTATCAGTAAGCTTTTATTAAGCCTCCTCTCTTTAAACCAGGAAGCAAGCAAAGAACCAGGAAACCTCACAGGAACCTGCTCTGAAAGCTTTACAACTCTTCTGGGTATAGAGTATAAGAGAGGAAGTTATGAATGCAATTTCTGCCCTTCAGGAATGAAACACATCTGAGGAAAAACTTGCCAAAGGATGTAATTGACAGAACTGCATTAGACCAAGAGAAGATAAACAGAGAGAGCTAAGGGAGCTAACAAGAAATGGAAAGGATAAGAAAAATGGAAAACAGAAGCCTTGCTCACATTCTTTCCTGATACATGGAATACAACAAGAAATGGAAAGGAAGGAAACTTAAAATCAGTAAACAACATTTCATGGTAAGTGTGTTATTTTGTTTTTAAAGATAACGTACAGCAAATTACTGTATTTTAGAATGGCAAGCACTGTAACTTGAAGCTTAGTAAAAGTTAAGAAAGGATGAGCATTTCTACAGATAACAAGGAAAACAATCACTACATTAGACATAAACATGTTAAATGAAATAAACAGTTCTGCCTAAAGGCATAAGTCAATCATCATACATTAAGCTTATGGGAAAACTTGGCTCAAGGCTAGATTAGCTTCTTAAGGATACCGGTGCTTTACTTACTTTTTTCTTTTTTTGGCAGCCTCTTCTGATCCGCCAGACTCAAACCCTCATCAAAGATTAAATAAGGTGCCTAAACACAGCTGACAAGTTATTTGCAACACCTGCATGGGACTGACACATAAAACACAAAATCTACAGAAAACTTGTGCTTATCTGGGCCAGCAGTTGGAGGTTATGCAGACTAGCCTGATGCAATTAAAATGGCACTAGCAACTTGCATTTAGGTAACTGACTCCCAACCTGGGCAGGACTCTTCACTGATTCATTCTGGCAGTTCCTATGTAGTTGTTTGTATGTTGTTACAGTCCGGCTTACCTTGCCACTGTGAAACATGAGAATGCACAATAGTGCACATTTAGTTCAGTACTTCAGTTCACACAGATCAAGCTATTCTGAGATTTGTCTTGAACAGCCTGAAAGACCTATGTCTGAGTCACACGTAGACAGGTTCTGCTCCTATACTTCTTTTTAGTGGAACCAGTGCCAACTTCCTGTTGTAGATGGAAAGAGATAAAACTTACTTGGAAATCCTCTGGGCTGCAGTTTTTCTGACCACTGCCTGTCTGTGGTTTGCTGGAGGCTTTGGAACCAGCTGAGAAGGCGTACACTGGGATGGCACCACTTTGTGCAAACTGGCTGCCTTCTGGATACCTGAAGTGGCACTTGATGTCTTGTGCGCACCAGAGCCAGGCGACATAGGCACATGGCTGGTGCTGGATTGCGAGTAGCTGGCAAAGAGAGCCTGGTAAAAGCAAAACAAAACAAAATCATAGTAATTGGTGATCCTCTCCCTGAGTATAGCTGATAGCTGACAGATGAGAGTGACATTTTTGTAAGGGAGAATCTCTTCTCAGTGAAGGCAACCTCACAGTTTCAAGAGCAGTTCCAAGCACAAAAAGAACAGTTGTCAATGAAGTAGTTTTAAGAGCTGAACTGCAGCATCTAGGAAGGCGGAGAAGCTTATTACTACCACACAACAATACTGCTCTGGAGGAAAAAAGAAACCGAAAGGTCTTCCCCAATCTAATCACAGAATCACAGAATCACAGAATTGTAGGGGTTGGAAGGGACCTCCAGAGATCATAGAGTCCAACCCCCCTGCCAAAGCAGGTTCCCTACAGCAGGTCGCACAGGTAGGCATCCAGGCAGGTCTTGAACATCTCCAGAGAAGGAGACTCCACCACCTCCCTGGGCAGCCTGTTCCAGTGCTCCGTCACCTCACTGTAAAGAAGTTCTTGCGCATGTTTGTGCGGAACTTCCTATGCTGCAGTTTCCGGCCGTTTCCCCTTGTCCTGTCTCCACTCACCACTGAAAACAGTCCGGCCTCGCCATTCTGCCCCCCACACCTTAGATATTTATAGACCTGGATCAGGTCCCCTCTCAGTCTCCTTTTCTCAAGGCTGAACAGACCCAGTTCACTCAGCCTTTCCTCATAGGGGAGATGCTCCAGGCCCTTCACCATCTTCGTGGCCCTCCGCTGGACTCTTTCCAAGAGATCCCTGTCTTTTTTGTACTGGGGAGCCCAGAACTGGACGCAGTACTCCAGATGAGGTCTTACCAGGGCAGAGTAGAGGGGGAGGATCACCTCCTTTGACCTGCTGGCCACGCTCTTTTTAATGCACCCCAGTAAGCCATTGGCCTTTTTTGGCCACAAGGGCACACTGCTGGCTCATGGCCAACCTGTCGTCCACCAGGACACCCAGGTCCCTTTCCGCAGAGCTCCCCTCCAGCAGCTCATCCCCCAACCTGTACTGGTGCGTGGAATTATTCCTCCCCAGATGCAAGACTCTACACTTGCTTTTGTTAAACCTCATCCGGTTTTTTTCTGCCCAGCTCTCCAGCCTGTCCAGGTCCTGCTGAATGGCAGCACAGCCTTCAGGCGTGTCAGCCAATCCTCCCAACTTCGTATCATCGGCAAACTTGCTGAGGGTGGCCATTATCCCCTCATCAAGGTCATTGATGAAGATGTTGAACAAGACCGGACCCAGCACAGACCCCTGAGGAACACCGCTGCTTACAGGCCTCCAACCGGACTCTGCACCACCAACAACGACCCTCTGCGCTCTGCCAGTCAGCCAGTTCTCAACCCACCTCACTGTCCACTCATCTATCCCACACTTCCTCAGCTTTGTTATAAGGACGTCATGGGGGACAGTATCAAATGCCTTGCTGAAATCAAGGTAGACTACATCCACTGCTCTCCCCCTATCCACCCAGCCAGAGACAACATCATAGAAGGCTACCAGGTTGGTCAAGCACGACCTCCCCCTTGTGAACCCGTGCTGACTACTCCTGATAACCTCCTCTTCTTCCAGTTGTCTGGAGATGACATCCAGTACAAGCTGTTCCATCACCTTTCCAGGGACAGAGGTGAGGCTGACTGGCCTATAATTGCCTGGGTCTTCCTTCTTGCCTTTTTTGAAGACCGGGGTGACGCTGGCTATCTTCCAGTCTTCAGGCACCTTCCCCGTCTTCCAAGACTTCTCAAAGATGACCGAAAGCGGTTCAGCAATCACCTCTGCCAGCTCCTTCAGCACCCGTGGATGAATCCCATCGGGTCCCATGGATTTCTGAACATTGATGTTGCCTAGGCGCTCCCGGACCACCTCTTCCCTGACAGAAGGGGGGTCTTCCATTCCCCAGATCCTCTCACTAATCTCCAGGGTCGTGCAATAGACTTCTATAAACAAAGTTTTTGTTGCTTTAACTGACTTTCTGCCTTTACCCTGGTTAGCTGTTCTTTGTCTGCAAGCTGGGATTAATACAAAGTTCTAGGAGAAAAAAAGGCTAGGTGGAATATGTTAAAATACCAGATCTTCAGTCCAACCCTGTAGGTGCTTCAAGTAATTGGAAAGCTTTAAGGTATAGTCTCTGAAAAAGGAGAGTTGAGGTCAGCAGCAAAATGGAAATCCCCAGGAATACCAGGGAACAGAGAATATTTCTACTCCTAAAGCAAGTGCGAGAGTAAGCACGTTGAAGATTTGACACAGAGAACAAAAGAATCTGCATGTTGTGAGCAATACACCGGCATGGCAGGGAAAGGGAAATGGCTCCCTACGAGAGCTCTGCAAACTACTCAGCTCTTTTTAGAAAGGAGTAACTTGCCGGGATTTCTGCCTTCACTTTCCTTGAAGTTTCTATTGCCTCTGCCCTGGGAAGCTAAGCATAGCCACACAGTTCGGCAGCTAGAGGTCAGTGATAGGAGATGAAGGGGATGGCTGAGCAATTGCCTGTCACCTCAGCATGACCTTGGCAGCAGTCCACTTCACTGCATTTGTCCATAGCTCCTTCTCTGGTGAAAAACACACAAAGCCACAGAGAGTGGGCTCCAGAGAAAACCACAGTCTGAGGAGGGCTGGCTGAATCTCAGCACACAGACAGGAAAAGCCCCTCTCCCCCGCAGTTCTCTGGTAAATGGCAAGGCAGTGGTGTGTGGGAAGGCGTTTCTGACAGGCTGAGCTCTAGGGAGAAAAGGAAGTGCAGGAGCCAAAACAGGCCTGTTTCCTAACGAAAGTTCACTGACAAGATCCTCTTGAGCTCCCAATTCTTAACCTCTCCCTCCCCTGAAGCTCTACCTTGATCACGGCTTTCAGCTTTAGAAATAAGTAGCTGGTGTAAGTGCAGAAGTCTGGAAAATAGCAGTCACACCCCACCTCCTCTCATTAAAACAAACCAAAACGAAACATGGTTCACTGTGTTGCATCCTAGAGTCTCCTGCATTACAGGGGTGGAATAGAGACCCTCAAATCACTGTAACCCCTTCTTACTCAGGAATGCCACTTCACTGTTCCCTGCTCCCCCTACACATGCTTCCTGTGGGTGTTGGTTTTGGTTTTTTTTCCTTCTTGTTTTTAAAATCATTATGAACCTGGTGCCTGCAAAGCACACAGTCTGAATCCCTTCCCTATATTAACAGGAATGTGTAGGGAGGACTGTGACTCTCAACAAAACGGCAAGAATGGATGCTCTAATGAAATCTGATCAGCAAAAGCTAGGCTGAGATCTGTCTATGGAAAGATCATGGATGTTTTCTTGAGGATAATGGAATTCCAAAATAGCCTTTGTCTCCATGCTGTGCTGAGATTCTGGCTGCCTTCCAGGCAGAGATAGAAGCTGACACAGACCATGGCTTCTGGATTCAGCTACAAAGCATACTGCCCTGCTGTGAACTCAGTGGGGTCAGAACAGGAAACCAGGAGAAGCTACTGTGCAAATAAAAATGGGCAGCTGAACAGAACAGAGCCTGACTGCAAAGGTTGGGAAGATGCTCCAGAGATACCCAGAAAGTGGGAGATATGCCTCAGCACTCAGGATTCTGAATGATCTGAACCTAGTTAGAGCAGAAGCCTTAAGAAACCCTGCCAGAAGCAGTCCTGAAGCAGGTAGCACCCTCCAAAATGATGCAGAAAAGGACAGCATTTACCCTATCTAGCACACAGAGAAAGTGATTTTCCCCAAGCCACAGTCAGAAGTAACATGAAAAGTGAGGCTGTGATCTCAGAGAAGATCCTGACTCTCAATCCCCTATTTGCCTTGTTCGATCACACCTTCCCTTGCATCCACACCTACACACGTACACCGTAGACAAAGTGTCTCTTTTTGTATAGGATAACATTTTTAATCAGAATATCTCAACATATACAGCTTGTATATAACAATGCACAGCTAAGAGTATTAGCCAGTAGCAACTGAACTAGGGCTGCTCACGACTGAAAGCAGGGAGGTACTGCAATACTTTGAAGAAAAGCAGATTAATGAACTTCAAAAACAGAAAGAATGTTCCTGGCACTTAACCATCCCTGTACCTAACACCCATTCCTAACACAGTAACGGAACAAATGTTGCAAGCAAAAACATGCTCATTCTGTGACCAGAGGAGCTAATGAAACTCATTTCCTGTGAATCTGCCTTGGTTTTGAATCTTACAGTTTCTAATATGAAGCAAGTGCCAAATTATGTTTCCATTCATAGGTTTGAAGTATTCTTGTGTGGATTTTCTGCTGTATAATTAGGAGTGGCCCAATGCTGCAGCTTTGCCTTGATGAGAACAGTAGCTGAGTACCCGTCTCAGATTCATAGCACTTCAGTTTCATTTTCATACTTTCGTTTGTATAAAATATAGCTTTGAGATTTCTATACCATGGTAATTTGGTTTAAACTGAATCAGCGAGCCTGACAGCAATGAGAGACCCAGCAGTATATAAGAACTGACAAACGTACTCACACATGTACTGCACAAAGATGTGTGTAGTTATGCAGAGAGTTCCTAATTGTTAATGCTGGAAACTGAGATGTTCATAAGGAATAAATCGTAACAAGGATTTAGTTAAAACAACAACAACAAACAAACAAACAAAAAACCCCAAACCCCAACCTTTTAGAAAAAAACTGCATTTCTGACATTGCAAAAATACAAAGAATCAAAAGGCTTGGATGACTTTTGGATTTATACAAATTGTTTAGCACAGATTCTTCTGAACACATACTAATATGTTCAGCTAAATCAATTTGGATGCAACAATCAGTTGAGTTAACAATTCACAAAATGGCAATAATAGCATATTTTGACCTTATTGCTTAACTGTCACAGTGTTAAACTGCAGAAAGAGAAGAATCTTGGGGTCATAAATGTATCAAAAGGAAGAAGAGAAAACTCAAGGTATTCCCTGGATGTCCATATACTAAAATGAACTGATTTGGTGCTTTCTTCCTTTTTCTGTCTTTGATATCAAACTGGAAGCC